ATAAATGCTGTTTAGCAGTACGGAATCATCCTAGAAGTAGGGAAAGTTGAAAGTGAGAACAGAAATTGGCCCACTTCCAAAAGAAAATTTACTTTATAATACTTCACGGTTTGATTTAACATCATGAGTTTTGTTGCTTCACTGGTGCTTCCAGAATTCTGGTCTTGAGAATATTAATGACAATATTACTGAAACGTTACAATACTAGTTTAATTTTTCTAAAGCACGTGACAGCACAGCCACATGCCAAAATTGTGAAACAGGAATGCCATGTGTGACTTAAGAGGAAATACCACAATTTGGTGCTGCACATACAATAATATGTACAATACAATATTTTACTAATCATGCATAAAAATTCTTACTGCTTCCTTCCCAGGTTCAGTCAGCTGGAAGGTCAGAAATGACAGCACATCATGGTCATCTGTATTCGAGAAACAAAAAAAAAAAAAAAAACCACCTTACAAATGTGTCTAACTCCCAAGCCAACCTCCCACTTGCAAAGGATCTTCAAAAAACAGCATCCTCACAAGAGGATGTGCAGTGGGGAATGAGACTATACAGGGGCTTTGTCAGAAAAAAATGAAAATTCTTTAGCTGGAGCAAGGAAAAGTCCAAAGCATGTAAGTAATTTGGGACTGCAAGAGGGTTCATTACATCATCATGGCCAAAAATTGGTATAATGGATCAACACGAGTAGTAAAAACCCAGCCACCCAACCAATCAACCTTTCTTGCAAGCCTTACAAGTCCCCACAGCATTTGCCATAATTTTTAACATTTTCTACCTGCAAGTGCCCCTGTGGCTGCAGATATTCCAAAATACCCTTGTGATGGCAACACCATATCTTCCACTTTGGCACAAAACTCATAGTCCTCTTTATCCGGAGTAAAGCCATTATTAATTAATACCTAAAAGGACAAACAGTTATGATTTTCACCACATTTTTGTGTTAATTGTTTTGTCAGTTCGCAGTAATGCTCACAAAATACAACTTTTTTGGGTAACTCAGCTCATACCGGAAACAAAAAACTATTTATTTTTTGAAAGAAACATTTTACCAACATTTTACATAAGCATTCTATTTGCAAAAGTCCACATCCTAAGAAGGTTCTGGGCAACACAGAACTGATCTACACCAGTCATCCCTTGCAGTTCTGATTCAAAGCTTAAGGAGATTCTGCAGATGCATCCCCAGAGAAAGAGAGAACTGCTAAGTTTAGCAGCCACATCTGGGACAGAGGAGTTCCCAGAGGAGGCATCAGGGCCCAGGTGAGAATAGAGCAGCCTTGGAGGCTGAAGTTTAACTTTCATTCAGGAGTGACAGGCAGCTTTTCCCATTACAACATGGTACAAGGTCTGCCCTCTTCTAGGTGCAGTCATGTTTACTTTTAGAGAAACTTCTACTACAAAATGATAGCTCTGCATTTTATGGCTGCTACCTGTGAATATATCAACAGCACCTTTCCAGAAGAGATCAGGTGCCAACAAACACACACTCTGTAGCTTTCACAACCTGGCACCACACAAGTATTTTTCTCTCCTTACCTAGAGGGAATTCACAATCAGCTAGTATTTAGAAAAGCCTTGAAGACCCCCTTATACCAGTGGGTTTTAGTCTTTAGTCTTGAAAGCCCTACTATTTCTTGGAGGTGAGAAGCCCCCACTAGAAAATTTAAATCTACTGTTGAATAGTTTTAGGTTTTTAGTCACATTTCAAGAACCTCTGGTACAAAAATCAGCTATAAACCCCTCTGCAACTCTTAGATTAGCTTAAGAAATACCAAGCTCAGGAGCAGCTCGATCACCTGTAGCTTAAACAGATCCTGACTTTGGGACACCTCTCCAGGCAAGTCCAGAGCAACAGAAGGGTTTGAGCACATCATGAGTGTGTTTGCACAACTGCCTCCTAAGTCACATTAGAAAAATCAGCAATACCTGCATTCTAATGCAGCCAAAACGCTGGAACTGACATATTTGTTGCAACTCTGCGAAAACCCAGTTTCACATTTAAGAAGCTGAGAAAAACAATTCTGTTATTTGAGACTCACAGTCAGTGTTTTTTGGTAGTAGGTGATCTTGACTCGCACAGGATAGGGCTTGTTCCGAAAGTCCCTCTGACAGGATGCCAGGGCTTGCGTGGATCCATCGCTGTGCAAAAAGAGAACATCAATAAAACTCTGTGTTATCATTCATCAGCTGGGACAAAAAAGTGTCTGACTCTCACTAAGCAACCTCATCACAATTTTTCAATCTGCAAGAGCTTTTCTAGGCTGCTCTGCAATTGCAGTGAGCTTTCTGCAGGGATCTCCAGTACTGCATGCTGTACTCAGGACACAATCCAGAGGGAACACAATCCAGAGGGAACTCTGTTTTCTGAGATACATCCTAAGACACAATTTTCAGACATATTCCTGCACCCAGGAACCTAGATGGAAATAAGCTGTAGTGACTGCACCAACTGAGCTAGACACCTCTCCTCTCCGAAATCCAAAAAGGTGTCCACTGTGCTGCTGATAAATAATCAGAAATCAAAATGAATCCAACTAATTTAACAGCAATTTGCTTTCAGTTAGTCACTTCTGCCAATTATTAGCTGTGTGTGGAGGACCCCCATAAGCAATAGTCTGGACTGTACCTGTATTCATCTGAGTTCATCCATCCCAAAGAGCATATGCCAATAAAATATCCATCAGTTGCCAATTTCTCTGCTGTTACTGCCAAAGCAGTGTTTTAACAAATAAAAACCCTCAAATGTAAAGGAAACAACAAAGTTTTGTATGAAAGAAGCTTTATAATGCTTCTCAAAGGGTTTCATGGAACAATTCATCATTCAAAAGCAAGCATTCAGCAATAAAGTTGAAAATAAACTTACTTCTGATGGTCATACAGCAGCTTTCCATTGTTGCCTACAACAATCACTCCGGGATTGTTTTTCTAGGGAAAGAAATGGCACACAAATGGATTAGTTTAATTTGAAGGGAAATATCAGCTACATCTCTGAAAGCCTTCTGCTAAAATCAGTCTAAAATGTCTAAAAGCAAGCCAAAGTTGTGCAGGGAAAGCAAAAGCACCCAAGCAGACCTACTACGCATTGTTTAAGTTTCAGGATCGTTCTGGACTGGAAAATTAAGAATTGAATACAGCAACTGTCATCCTCATCAAGCTACAAAATCTTTGCTGCTGAGCTGCCTCAAAGCAGATTTCTCCCAAGAAAAAGAGCATCTCTGAATACACGTATAGAAATTGGTGTTTCCAGTGGAAGGGAAACGTGACTATTTTATTTTAGCCCTTTGAAGTGAAAGAGGGGAAGAGTAAGAAAACAACATCCTAGTTTCTTCCACAAGAGACAGGAAATTAATTTGTCATCTTTGCTGTAAGAGTTTCCTTCCAACCAACCTTCCCATCATTGTCAAACGAATCGAAGAAAATTCCAACACCGTTCCATTTATCAGCTGCCCCGAAAACAGGACCTTCCAAGCCTTGCTCTTCTGTAAACCAGATTGCCTATGAAGAAAGCAAAAAGTCATACGTCAAGATTCACTTTTAAAGCACATTTGTTTTTCTCAGTTACATTAAACTGCTCCTACCAATCCATCAGCTCCAATGCGGCCTCTTCCTGTAACTCGAAAGGTCACTTCCACTTCCCAATATTCAAATATTGATTTGTTTTTTGTCCACACTGAGCCCTTCTGGCTTTTCAAGGAGGTTGTTATACGGATCTGATCTGCACTTGGGATGGCATCTATAAAGAAAACAAGATGTTCTAACTTTCTGCTTAGCAGTATAAAAGAACAAGAGGCATACATTCAGAGAGAGATTCATTTGCCTGCATTAAATAACATTACTTTTAGGGATTATTTTCTTGAAAAAGAAGGGGGGAAAAACTCATCTAGAGACAGTTGCCTTCATGTCACTTGCATCATAACGTCAAGTAATAAAAAAGGTACATTTGAGAATTAAGCAGTAGCAACTAAGTTAAAGTCTGACAAAAACCAAAACCACAGCAGAAGTTACTGCAGACAAACTGTGAAGATGGAACTGTAAATGTCAACACCTTTCACAACGGGGGGACACTCAGGAAAGGCAACGAGCCTTTTGGAGCACCACGGAACCCTTAACCCAGAGCGCACAGAAACAAACGTTGTTCCACGAAGTCCTATTTGCATTTCGAGCTTTAAGACGCCGAAACCCAGCGGTTTGTGTGGCAGCCGGGCCCGGGCCGAGATGGAGCGCGGCAGCAGTGACACATCAGCACTTCCCGGCAGCGCCACGAATGCCCTCCTCGGGCCCGCGGCCGCCGCACCAGGAGCCCATAGGGCCATGGATGCCTTCGTACCTGCGGGCAGGCCCGGGCACCTTGTCGCCACCGCAGCATCTCCCCTGCGCCTCCGGTGCCACGTGGAGCCCGAGGGCACGGCCGGCACCCACGGCCAACTTCGCCCGCGGCTTCTCCCCGAGACCCCGCGTCCCCCGAGCGGACCCTGCCGCCTCCACCTCGGGAACGCCGCTGGCCCGGCCCCGTCACCCCCGCCCGGCACTTACTGCCCGTGTGGACCCAGAACGGCACCGTGCCATCCGCCTGCACCAGGTGCGGACCCTTGAAGCTGTACTTGTACTCGAAGCGCCGATGCGGCGCAGCCGCCGCGCCCTCCGTGGCCTGTGCACCGGAGAGCGCCGGGCGGCCGAGGGCGAGCAGGAGGAGCACCAGCGGGGCGAGCGGCGCCGCCATCTTGGCCGAGCTGCGGGGCAATGCACAGGGCCAGCGGGGCGGCCCCTGATTGGCCGAGCTCGGGGGCGGGCGCGTGAGGGGCGGGGAGAGAGGCGGGACCGCGGTGAGGGCGGGGAGCGGGCGCGAACAGGGGCGGGGCTGAGGGCGGGGAGCGCGCCGGGAACCGGGGCGGGGCTGAGGGCGGGGGGTGGGCGGGAACCGGGGCGGGCTGAGGGCGGGGAGGGGGCGGGCACCGGGCACCGGGCACCGGGGCATGGGGCCCCGGGCACGGTCGGAGCGTGCCCCGATCCCGGTCCCTCCTGGTGAATTTCCTAACTGCCCCGGGTCCGAGGGGCTGTGCGCTGTGAGCTGGTGTGCGGGTCAGCCGCGTTCGTGCGGCCTCTCAGACAGCTGCGAGCCGCTAACGGTGCACAGAATGTCTGAAAGATAAATACCCTGTTCGTTCCCCTCAATGTTACTTCCTTAGCAAAGACGGCGTTTCCACGGGCTCTTTTCGGTTCATTTGCAGAGCAGTCGGAAGTCCCGCAGCAAAATCCACGCTGTTTCTCCTAACATGCGAGACCAACCTTCCGCAGAGGTGAGCAAAACAAAGCCCAGGTGACAAGGTGACAGGCAGGCCCCAGCCGTGACCGGTGACAGCGGGGACAGGTGGGGACAGCCCCCGACACTGCCAAGATGAGGAACACGGCTGCTTGTCAGTGTGCAGCGTCACAGAGCGGGGCAGGGCTTGTCTCGGAGTTAAACCAAGCACTGAACCAACAGTTAAGAGCTTCCTTTTCCATTCTCTTCGTTTTCAGCCTGTCTTACAACCTTATTGGGGAAGAAAATAATTATCAGTAGTGTTTTTCTTTTTCAGTTTCTTTACACCCTTGGGTTTTGTTCTACATTTTTCATACCCATTTGATTCTGACATCCCTTCTTTTCCTCTTAATCTGCAAGTATGAGCAATCTAAGACTCAGTAAGTAGGTTCAGAGCCTGCTAAAAAAAGAGGATGACCTTGGAGGCATTTGGGAGAGATTAAGTTATTTTTCTAAAATGGCACACATTTCCTTCAGAATGGGTGAAAGTAAAACCTTACATTCTCACTTCTTTTTCAGCTACACAAAGGAGTAAGCAAATATATGACCAGATGAAACTTGGCAAGCAAAATGTTTCTGAGATAAATTTTAGAATGTCTACGTATAAGCATATTGAGGATTCTTGAGCAGTTAACACTTGTTTCTATAGAGAAAGAAGTGCTTGACGTTTTGTTTTGTATAGTGTCTTCCATCCAACAATATTCTAAACCATCCCTGATTTCTGAATCTATTTTGCATTTTTAGAGCATATATGTGGGAGATGTCAAGGGAATTGGGAGTCTCTTCTTGGCAGCTTTCTAGACACAGAAAACTCAGCTGTTTTTCTGTTCTTTAAAGATCTAGAAAGTAATTTTTTCCAGTAAAATTCTGGAATTACTTCAGAGGATAAAATGGTGTGTGCCTCAGAGGTCCAAGCAGGGCAGCATGAGGCCCTCTTCTGTCTGCTTCCTCCATTTGCCAGTAACCTCAGAATTTATGCCTATGAAATACCAGACCCACGCTGAAGGAGACTAGAAACCCAAAAGCACAAAAGCACATTTGAAACAATTCCCTTACCCACTCACCCACACGTGTGAGAGCAGGCTGAAATTTTGCCATTTAGAGGCATTGGCATAGACGCTGTCTTAGCACTTGTGCACGGAGGATTTGTAAAACCTCCTTTGAAAATGGAAACTCCTTTAAAAGTCTTTTTCCCAGGCGCAGAAAGCTGCCCTCCAATCCGCTGTGACATGCAGGAAAACATCCAGAGACTCCCAAAATTATAGATATTAGCAGTTTAGACTCTTCAAGGTAAGTCTCTTCAAATTGTTTTGCTACATGAGCTCACTAAAGGAAACAAAAATGTTTCCTATTTGTAAGAACTTTTTGAATTCTGTCCTGAAAATTACATTTGAATTCAAACCCAGTAACAGGGAAATGAAGGCTCAGCAAAGAGAACAGAAAATGGCCCACTGGATTGGATTGACAGGAACTGCCTGCACTGGCAGTTTGATAATCTCTATAATCATAATTCTGTACAATCATAACAAATGAAATTCCTTCATTGTCTCAAATTCTGCCTGGAAGTAGTTAGTATAATTTCTCTATCATTATTCTTATAAAAATGCCATGATATTTCCCACAGGTCTTATCAAGGAAGTCAAAACACACAGTAGCTACAAATCTCTCTTTCAGCCTCCAGAGCTCTGAGCATTTGGATACCTTGACAAGCCCACACTGGAAAGGGCAGAGGAGAAAAAAGGAAAACAAATGAGGCTTCAGTGAGTGAACTCCTAAAAAGTGTGGGGAGAATCACTGCTTATGCTAATAAACTTTTGAGGTATCTTGTGTTGAACTTGAGGATTTTGAGCAGAAATGCAAGACCTGTCTGGTCTCCTCCCATCTCAGTGACCAGTCCGTGATTTTTATAAATATCCCTGAAGGCAAGCCTTTGCACACAGGCAGAATTATTTTCTGTGTCACAATAGATGGGAATGCTGAAACAGACTGGATTTTTTGCACTGCCTGTGCTTTAATATATGTGCAGTTAATTAAATGCTGTGTGGAAGTCACAGAGGATTTTATTTTTGGTTTTTCCTGAGACCATGCCTTAGCAGATGAGCCTTAGCACAGCTTTATAAAGCCACTCATTGAAGCCAAAGATTCACTGTCCTTGAGTTGCCCCGGGAAACAATGCATAGGGAAAGCCCTGGGCATCTTAGAGAGCATTACCTTTTCTCGTTATTTCTGTTTATCAAATCAGTGAAGGGAAGGTGGGCTTTCAGTAATTTTAAGCCACTCTTCAACAACCAACCCGATTTAATCGCTACTCCAAGACATCTGGAAGTAACAATTTTTCTTTTTAGAATAATAAAATTATTAAGGTTGGAAAAGACCTCTAAGGTCATCAATCCAGCCTTTAAAAAAAACTATTTTTTTTGACAGAAGAATTTCTTAAGATGCATCACAATTTTAAAAAGACAATATATTGAGCCCTGTTTTTCTGTGCTTCATCTCCCTGTCACAGCCTTGCGGATTCTCCCTTGCTCCTCCTCCTAGGCCAGCGATCTGTGTGTGAAAGTGTATTATTTAATTTCAATTACAATGTTAATTACAGAAGACAAGTGGTTACTGAATCTTGCACTGTAATTAATCAACCTGATATTTACTTACTCCGTTGTTCACACTGGATTAAGCTGGGTCTGGACAAGCAGGGCAAGGAAAGTGAGTGACAGGAGCATTATCATGGCACACTGTCTCCCATTGGGAAAGTTCATCTTCCTTCTGAAAGAGACGCCTTCAGGGATCATGGAATTTGAATTCCCTGTGAATTTGGTGTCATCTTAGCTTGACCAGCTCTGGAAGAACATATTAACCTCCTCTTGTGATTTTCAGAAAACCATTCTAATTTAGCAAGTAATTAAGGGTCACATGTAGGATAAAGAGCTAGATAAGCTTGGATTACGCACAGGAAGCTTTGTTTCCAAGGCTACCCGAGCAGAGGGGGTGTTAATGCTGAGGTCAGGCACTTAATGAACTGGGAATGGTTTCTGGCTGCAAAATGTATTCGAACCGGGCACGGCGAACTAACAACTGCATTACCATTTAATGATTTGATGAGAGAAAACAAATGCCTTACAGGGCTACTTATCGGGCAAATACTGAAGAAAAAGCTTACAGGCGGTGCCACCGTTCTGCTAACCGAGGTCAGGAGAAGTCCAAAACAATGACGCTTGACAAGCCCGAAATACTTCAGTCAGCGCGGATGGATTTGGTGACTTCCCAGTGTGAAGGTGTCGCTGTGTGCGTCAGCTGCCGCTGCTGACACACTCAGCCCGTGCTGCGGGCTCTTTTCCTCCCCAGGTTAGTGCTGCCCGGAGGCTGCTGCCTGTGGAATCGCCCTGGGGGATTTAGCGCACTGGAAAGCGAGACAGCTCTTCCTAGAGCTCCGGACGCAATCCACTCCTGGGACTCTGGGAATTAATCCCTCGGGGCATTTGACAGGGCAAACCTCATACACAAATACCATACGCATGGATAAAGTGGCCAAACAGCTCATCTGTAGCAAAATAGATGGATTTAGTAAAACACGGTAATGTTTTCAAAAATGATTCTTGCATTGTTTTGTTCTGTATGCCTAAGGAACAGTTTGGAATGAGATTGCTATGCTTGAAGAATATTAGAGAGTACAGAAATTGGAGGTGACCCATTAAGTACCTGCCGCTTTCTCAGTTCACTTGGACCATGGCTCTGTGAGAGAAAGAATTGCACAGGCATTTTTCAAAGCTTTCTTTAAAACAAGCAGGCATTCTCTGCTTTTTGGGACAACCAGGATATTCTGTAAGGCTGGGGTGTTCTTGTGGCAGGAACACAGGCACCTCTAATTTTGTGCCATGCTTTTTCGAAATATGTGGATGTATAAATCACGGCAATTTTAGAGGCCAGCAGATCTCTCTTCTTCTTCTGTGTAGCCTTGGAATAAAAGCAGGTGATTTTACATTAGGCCACCTGTTTGCACAGTAGAAATTGAAACACTCTGCTCTTTCAAACAGGAACTGTAGGACTTTCGGTTAAGGGTAACTGTATTGAAGGTGTGCTGGCAAAACCTGAGCCGCTCGCAATAGTAAAAAACAAACCAACACACAAAAACACCACCAACCAAAAAAACCCCAAACCAGGCTAACAAACAAACATCCAGAAGGGAATTTACCTTCTTTGCTCACAAGTAGCCAGAAGAAAAAAAAAAAAACCAACAAAAAAAGTAATAGCCTTAAATAAGTTAAAGGTTTGAACAGCAGCAAGAATTTATGCAAAACATTAGGGGATATTTTGCTTTTTTTCCAACTGCCAAATACCTGGCAAGAGGGCCAACAAGGCTGTAGCCTCTCCACACAAGATTTTTCAGGATGCCATCACATGTTTTTTGGTTGATATTTTTTTGAGACACAATTTGATAATTATTCCTGGATCAAGGCTAAATCTTACAAATAATAGCTGGGCATCAATTAAAGGGCATCATGCCTTCCACAGCCCACTTCATAAAAAAGGCTATATTTCAAAAGGATGCATCAATTGGGTGCTAAATCCACTAAAGGAACTGCAAAGAGCTTAACGTGCTTGGCAAAATCAGATGCCTTAATCCAACTTTGGCCTGTAGAAGCTTCAAGGTGGCAATTACTGGTTTGATAGCGACAGGAGTCAGGCCATCTGAGATGGAATCAAGATGCACCATCTTCACTTTCCTCTTCAGTGACAGACCCCCTTCTAACGTGTCCTTCCGTGGTGCTGGATGGCTCTTTTTTATTTGAATTTTATTAAAATGAACAATTGGGCCATTCATGTTTACCTCAAACAGGGATGAGCTCAACAGATTTAAAACCATCTAAACCTCTTTGAACATTAGGAGTTGTCAAATTTAGAGTCTCTTTAATAGAATGACCCAGAAGTGAGCCATAAAAACCATGTGAACATCCCTGCCTTTGAACTTTGGCTTCTGGACTGCAGGTTCTAGATGAGCTGCCCATGTGATTCTCAGCACAGCTTCAAACACCCAATTTCTCACTGCTGCCTCTCTTCCAGTTGTGTGACAAGTCCCTGTCGCTTGTCAGATGTCTCCCCCAGACTCACCTCTGCTACACTTTTGTTATCTCCCTTGTTTTATTCCCCTCCCTACCTTTGCTGATTTCTTTCTCCAGCACATTTCTCCCTCTGCTGACTCTAGGACTTCCCTCAGCTCTGCCCAAGTTTCCATGTCCTTGTTGGTTCTCTGAAGCCCTACATGTCCCAGTCTCAGTGGGGAGGGCAATATAGGGCATGATCCCTAATGCATCTCTTGATTAACAGAGAACCAGATAATTATCCAGATAATTCCAGTTGCAGTGCAAAATCATCACTGCCACTTTTCTCAATTTCTGTATGTGAGCAGGAAGGAGTTCTCAGTGGGTTTGGTAACCAAAGGAATAAGTATGGGGAAGTCCCCTTCAGTTGAGTTTTACTGAGAAGAGCTCTTGGAAACACCACGAAGAAACCCGTGGAACCCAGGGGAAAATAGACCCACTGACACACCCGCATCAAATTCTTTGCTGTCACCCCTTGTGTTTTTGGCCTCCAAACGAAATTTGTAAACCTATTAAACATTACCCCATGTGAATTCTTACAGAACTAACATTTCTAGAGTGACCAAAATTGAGGAAAAGCCATTTTCAGACTATGAGAGGACTTCCCAGCCTCTCCTCTGCTGCTTGCTTGCTTTCTCCAGCTTTACTGATGTCAGCAATTGATGGATACACTGCCATCTGCCACCTCTCCTGCAGGGATAGCTGCCAAATTCTCTCTGAGGTCAAAGATGAGGATTATTGGCCCCTGATGGTAGGAGCCACAGATGACATGGCCTGAAAATGCAATCAGGTCCCCACCAGAAACAACAAAAGGTGCTCGACTCTAGCAAAGGCAAGGCTGATTACAGAGGTGATTTGGCACGTGGCACTCCAGGAGCTTTGCAGCCACTGAATTGCTCTCTGCATCTGCAGGAAAAAGCAGGGTTTACCAGTTTTGCATCTTTCTTGGCTGTTTTATAGCTGGATGGCTATGGGCACCGGTTTGGAGGAACTGGTTGTAACTTTGTTCTCTAGGAAATTTCTTTCTAACAGCCAGCAAGAGATCTCTGGTTTTCCTGACAACCAAAAGAAAATAAGTGACCATGCATTAAAGTGGAAAGAATCCAGTTTAGAATGTGAATAGAGCTACAAGGTACCAAGCATAAACACAAACACAAAGAACTCGCTGTTTGTATACTGATTGAGTTTTCTATACACAGGTAAAAAGAAAAAAAAAAGAAGTGAGGAAAGGAGGAATCCTGACACTTTATTGCTCATCTACATAAATAGATAATCAAAATTGTCACACTGAAAAGTTAATTGTCTTCTTGAGCTGACTGGAGGAGTCTCAGCTCCACTTTCCTCTTTTCATCCAATAGGAAACGGCTTAGCTGCTGGATTTTGAAGAATTTTGAGAGTTGATTGTTTGTCCTGAGCCCATGCCAGAGATTCCTAACCTGTCATCATAGGGCAGCCTCTTCCTGGAGGCCTAAAAGTGCTGCTTACTTGGACAAACAGCCTGAAAAAGCATCCTGTACCCACATGTGTGCCTAGATTGGATATAAAAAAAATTCAGAAACAACAGAGGATTGTGTTTAACACAGAGATTTGCAGTGTCACCTTCAAAAAGCTCACAGAATTATTTCTGAGTCTTGTCAGGCAACACCAACAATACAGCAAGGCCTTTTTGTACTCTCCTTTG